GTACAGTATTTATTGTCCCCGGCCCCCTTATTTAAAGATCTTTGACCCGAATTGTGTGTTCCGTGTCTGTCTTGCTTCCCGGGGTTAGGATGCCTGAGGGAGCGGGGGCGGGCAGGGGCTGAGGTCAAAGACCCAACCAGAGACGCCCTTTTCAGAGTCGGAAGGCTGAGGGAGAACCGTGTCCTTAAATGTGATGGCGGAGGCGGGCCGCTTCCGGCGACAGGTCTCCGGGTGGAGGCTGGATCTGCGTGTGGGGGCGGGACCGCTGACGACGCCCCCTACCCTTAAGGGAGTTTGGATGCAGACGGAATGCCTTCCCCCGGTAGCCCATCTGAGACGCTGCAGGAGGCGCCAGTGGGCGGGCTCTGTGTGGGCCGGGCGGAGCGAACCATTAGCCGCGTCCGCCGGGGGAGCCCTGCAGGCCTCACCGCCGTCTGCGTGGGAGGCGGGGGTGGGGTGCCGCGTGCAGTTCCCCGAGGCGCGCGTGGGGATGAGGGAAAAGGTAGTCTGGCCGACCGGGGTTTCACCTCACCTTCCACCCCGCACGCATCTCTCCAGGGGCCGCCCCCGCCTGAAAAATCCAGCCTTGATCCCCACCCCGCAGTCCACCCAGCCCTCCTGTCCCGTGCGGCGCGAAGGCCGCCGCTCTCCCCCGCCGGGATCCGGGGTCGCGACTCGCGTTCCACGCCGCGCTCACTCGCTCCAGGTGACATCATCCCCCTGCCGGGCTCCGCCTCCCGCCCTAGCCGCCGTTCGACGCGCACCTATTGGCCAACGCGCCTTGAGCCCCGCCTCCTGCTCTCCGCCCGCGCGACCCCTCCCGGCCAGTGCGGGGGCGGGGCCTAGTCGCCGGCCGGCGCCGACGCAGCCTCCCATTGGCTACTTAGCGCGGTCTGTCAGTCTCCTGTTAAAGGGGCCACGACCGACAAGGAGTTGTTGGGGGGGAGGGGGAGGGAGGAGGAATTTTTTTTTTTGGGGGGAGGTGGGATTTTGGGGGCGCTGGTGGGCACCCCTGGATCTGTCGGCTGCGGCCTTGCAGGGGGAGGCTGAGCGGTGACAGGGGCAAGGGGCTGTTTTGGGGGGCCGAGGACTGTGAGACCGTGAGGGGGAGGGGGTTTCTCAGCGCCCAAGCCCGAGCCAGAGACGCGGAGCCCGCGCCAGCGGCGGAGACAGGGTTCCGGAGCCCACAGATCCGGGCCCCGGCTGCCGCCAGGGGCCCCGCCCGGTGCCCCCACCCCACCCCACGTCCCTCCTGCAGCCCAGCTCCGCCCGCAGCCGCCGCGGACCAGGTAGGTAAGCGCCGGGCCCTCCTGGCAGCGCCCACCCCGGGAACCCCTTGCCGAACCTCCCCCGCCTCCCCCAGATTCTGGACTTCCTTCCTCATCCCCGGGGACCCGGAGCCCCCATTGCACAGCCTGCCCCCAGGGACCCAGGCATGCAGCTCCCGGCGCCCAGGGTTCCCCCCGAACCCTAGAGCCCGGGAGGGCTGCTTCCGTGCGCCTCTTCCAGGGCCCTGGAGCCCGGGGTCTTGCATTCCAGCCCCCAGGACCCCCTCTGAGCCTGGCTCCCCCTCGTCGGCCCAGGCCCAGAGACTCCGGACCCCCAGCGCGGCTAGGTGGGCTCCCCTAGCCACAGCCGAGCACCCGAATTGGGGCTCCCGAATCGTCCCCTCTCCGTGCACCCCGTCTGCTCGGCTCCAGCCCTCTCGGCTCGGGCAGCTGGCCGCGTCCCTCGCTCGGCCCAGGCGGCTCGGCGGCCGCCCTGGACACAGGCCCGCTCCGGAGCTGTCCATGGTCGGGCACTCGGTAGCCTCGCCTCCCCCATCGCCTGCGCCGCCGCTGCCGGGGAGGGGATCCCCCCACCGCGCCTTTGACCCGGGGATACCCGGGCCCTCCCCGACCCAAGCGCCCGGGCCTCAGGCTTCCTCTGGCCGGGCTCTCAGTCCCCGTCCTCAGCAACCCAGTAGCTCCCGGAGGAGCCAGGGCTTCTGAATGTCCCTGCCCTGTCCGCCCTAGGGACCCTGGCATCCGGGACTCCAGCTCCCACCCAACCCGGGGAGCCCTGCTGGCTCTCACCCTGTCTCGCTTAACGACCCAGCTGGCAGCATTCACCCCCTCAGCACCCAGGAATCCGGCTCCCCAGTTTCACCCTCTCTGGAGACCTGGTTCCACAGCCCCTGTGCCCCTCAGACAAAAACAGCCAGGCGCCCCACATCCCAGCATCTGTTCCCTTAGGGATCCGGGCGCCATGATTCTCTCCCTTTGAAACTGGGAAAATAATTCTGGGGCTTCTGCCCACCTTGCGCCTTGGAGACCAAGGTGCCTTGGCCTCATTCCTGCATCCCCTCAAGAACTCATGAGTTTAGACTTCAGCCTTTGTATAGTCTTTATGGAGAGTCCCATCCTTTGCCCCTGCAAGGATTTAGGAGTCCAGCCTTCCCCAGCCCCTTAAGTTCTTATTCTCAACTCTCCCTCTTAGGGCTTCAGGTCCCCCACCCCTCTGTCAACTTCACATCTCCCGTGGTGTTGCTAGGCCCCCCTTCTCCTTCCCATATCACCTCAGGTGCCGGGCTCACTGGGCCTCTGTTCTCTACTCTCTTCCCTGAAACCCAGCTTCTTGACATGTTTCCAGCAGCCTCTTGCCTCCCAAGACCCAGCTCAAGATGTCCCGTCCTCCAGGGACCTCTCACAGCTATGAGCCAAGCCTCCATCCCTTCACGCACTTGTGTTCCGTGGCCTGGGCTCCGTAGGTGACCTACAGCCTGTCCCAGGTCTGTCACATTTCTCATCACACATGTGATCCTGCCCATGCTCCCCCTCGTCGTGGTCTAGAGTCCCTTCTCTCAGGACACAGTCAGTTGACATGTCTGTAGCCTCCTCACCCACAGAATGTTGTAAGTTCTAGGCCACATGCCACAGTCTAGGTCTTTTCCAAGGTGCTTTCAAATCCCCAGATAACACCCCAAGCCAAATTCGGATCCCATCTCCTCTTCAGGGATGTTTGAAGTCTACGGAATCCTGTCCTTGCTTATTCTCAGCTAAATGTTCCGTTCAGATACGTTCTAGGTTACAGCCACATCTTTGGCTTTGTTCTAGATCCTATTATCATCTCAGGAGCGTTCTAAGTTCTAGAGTGCATGCATTCCAATTATGATCTTTAGCCATTCCCCAAATTGTGTTACCAATTCTGGAATGCAATTTGCTATTTCACGTTCCACCAAATTCCACAACCTTAAATCCAGAAGACCCCCCACTGAGTGTTCTGTATCTTCTTTCCTTCAAGTTTAGTTCCTATCATCTAGCTACTTATCTCAGGAGCTCTGGTGGTGCAGTGCCTAAGGCACTTGACTGCTAACCAGAAGGCTGGCAGTTCAAACCCACCAGCCACTCCTCGGAAAGAAGGTTGGGCAATCTACTTCCGTAGTGATAACACCTTGGAAACCCAAGGAGGACTTGCTATGAGTCAGTCTGTCTCTACGGCACATAACAGTAACAACAACATCCACTTATCTCAGTCCTGCTTTTTCCTATTGTGTTCTTAGTCTAGAACTGGTCCTCTGGTGGGTCGCGGACTTTCACCTCCATCTGACACTTCGGAGTTCTAAACATGTTCTAGGCTCTCTTGTCTTCTGGGATCTTCAGCCTAGAAATATTGTAGAACATCTCTCTCCCTTTGCCTGTCCTAATCCCAGGAAATTCTCAACTCTCAGCATGCTTCCTTCTGCCTTTCCCCCCAGGCACTCCTGGATTGTAGGTAGGCAAGCTCCTTGGTATTTTCTAGCCTTTTCTTTGCCTCCAGAGCACGTTCTGAATCTAGACTAGAGCATGTTCCGAATCTAGACCATGTCTTCTGTTTCCTGGTACCAGCACTATCCAGACACACGATGGAATCAAGAATATTTTCTTTGCTGTATTGTGTTATACCTGCATCTCCTCTGGTGGGTTCTGGGTTCTAGAGTTATGTCTCCTGGCTCACTTCGGTGTCTGTTGCATTAAATTTGGTTTTGGGTGGCACCATGCTCCTTTCTGTTTTGGGGGTTCCGTGGTAAGCCAGACATTCTTGTTATTGCATTGTTCATGGCTGGGTTCTAGGTTCCAAACCTGGGTTCTAGAATATGTCCTTCTCCTGGCCTCATGTGTGGATCTCATCCCAAGCATGTTATAAATACCCAATTGTATGCCCACAGTGCACTTTTTGTCCCTGTTCCAGTGGCTTTGTAGATTTTACACTCAGTCTTGATCTGGTTTTTTCTTAGTGAATCTGAAGTTCTAGAGCCAAAAAAACCAACTCACTGTCACTGAGTCAATTCCAACTCATAGTGATCCCCATCGGGTTTCCAAGGTGGTAGATGTTTTTTTTTTTTTTTTTAATTGTGATTTGGGTGAAAGTTTACAGAGCGAATTAATTTTCCACACAGCAGTTCACACACACTTTGTCTCATGATATTGACTGCAATTTCCTACAATGCAACAGCTCCCTTCCCACTCCCTCGCCACCGAGGTGGTATATCTTTACGAAAGTAGATTGCCCCATCTTCCTTCCACGAAGCAGCGGATGGATTTGAACCACCAACCTTCTGGTTAGCAGTCAAATGCCTCAGGCACTGCGCCACCAGAGGAGCAGCTCCCTAACATAACATGCCGCAGCGCCTCTTCTGAGTAGGTTCTGGGTTTTAGATGCCACCTTGGTCTTGGCCCACGGCTGGCCAGCCCTCTTTTTTTTTTTTTAATTT